GAAGTCGCAATACATATGCCAATCTTGGGGTAAATTAGATGTTTTAAATTTACAGTAACTTTGACGAAGTTCTGTTCTCATTAATCGGAGTCTCTCATTGAACCATTTTACACCTTGTTTTTTAATTTTTAGAATTTGGGTTGGAAAGCAAATGTCGCGTTGCGTACATAGATTTTTAATTAGTAAATCAGTTAATTCGTTTGAATTTAAATTAGGATTAGAAAACATTGACCAATCCAGATTAGAAAGGTTATTTGCAAATTTGGTCACACGATTATCATTCATTATCCTTTTGGATTTTTTATTCAAGGCACTATTTTTACACAGATCGTTCAAATTTTTCACATTTACAAAAACACCACTATGATCCGCTATATGAGATTGATAAACTCCTGTTTCCAGATCATCAGGATTTAAATTCGTTATAATGTTGTCCAAGCATGAACTAGAGGTAGCTGTAACTCTGGTAGGAGATTTAATGTAGTGAATCAAACCGTACATATTGAAAAAATGTTTAATATCTTTGACATGTTCTGTGTTACTTTCCATGTCCAGATTAATATCTCCCAATAGAATACAGTTTTTGTATTTATTAAATAGATGATCAATTAGAGTAAATAACTGTTCTTTAAATATTAACATATCACCATTGCTTGATGATCTGTATATTGTAATTAAAACACAGTTTGTATTAGGGATAATTGCTCCACAGAATTCGGCATGCTGAGGAATACAAAATCTACTTATATTTATTGGCTTAAGCCTAATTATGTTTGCGGCGAAAATCGCTACACCCCCACGTTCTTTATCTTTTCTACAAAAAGAGGAGATTAAGTTATAATTTTTTAATTTAATTTTTTCTAATTTATTAAAAGGGAGCCAGTGTTCTGACAAACATAGAATATCAATTTGATTAGAGTCTAACAATAAATTTAATTCATCAACTTTATTTGTGATACTCTGGACATTTAAGTGTAACACAGAGCATGTTAACAAAATACTTTCTAAACTACTTTGTTGATTGCGGCTCGCTGTGCAACTTCCTAGACGGAAAAAAATTATTTATAATGGTTTTTGCCGGCCATATGTCTGGTACTAAAAGTTCATCAGCTTCTTCGGATGGCACAGTAATTTTAAATGAAGCATATTTCATAGGAAATCTCGCTGTTAATTTTTCCACTTTAGCATTCGGTGCAAACGATTGAAGATATGTATTTAATTCCTCTGTATTAACGTCAACATCAAAATTTGTTGCATGGAATTCTTTAGCGCGATTAGATGTTGCAGCTTTAAATGGACACGATGTTGAGCTAATAATAATAATAATAATAATAATAATAATAATAATAATAATAATAATAATAATAATAATAATAATAATAATAATAATAATAATAATAATAATAATAATAATAATAATAATAATAATAATAATAATAATAATAATAATAATAATAATAATAATAATAATAATAATAATAATAATAATAATAATAATAATAATAATAATAATAATAATAATAATAATAATAATAATAATAATAATAATAATAATAATAATAATAATAATAATAATAATAATAATAATAATAATAATAATAATAATAATAATAATAATAATAATAATAATAATAATAATAATAATAATAATAATAATAATAATAATAATAATAATAATAATAATAATAATAATAATAATAATAATAATAATAATAATAATAATAATAATAATAATAATAATAATAATAATAATAATAATAATAATAATAATAATAATAATAATAATAATAATAATAATAATAATAATAATAATAATAATAATAATAATAATAATAATAATAATAATAATAATAATAATAATAATAATAGATAGATGCATTTATTGACAATTACATACTTTAGTACATTTGATGTCACACTTTTATAATTAGATACAAAAAAATATATTGTTGATAAAATAAAAACATAAGACCTCTTATAAGGGCCGTTACAATCACTACATATAAGTTAAAATGAAATTTTAAGTCACATACACACTTAAAATTACTATTAAAATTTAAAATTTACAAATATATTCAATTTTGATTGAAAAGAAGATAGTCTTTTACTGAATAAAAGCAGTGCTTTAACAAAAATTCCTTTGCGGCTTTCTGAAATACATTTATGGTCATAACTTTTACTGGAATTACACTATATCTGACAAAGTGGTTATATAGGTTTAAATCAATTTTGTTGTTTTGCGTAATATTAATTCGTGAGTGCTGATTTACAAGATTCTCCCTGTTCCTGGTGTTATAGTTGTGATAATCCGAATGAGTGTGGTTTTCAGAATAGTTTTTATGAATCGATAATAACGCCTCAAAAATGTAAAGACAAGGTAGGGGAAGAATCTTGTATTTCTTAAAGAGGGGTTGACAATGTTCACCATATGGAGAACCGTCAATTATTCGAATAGCACTCTTTTGCAGACTGAATAACTTCTGTACATTTGTATTACCCCAGATGATTATACCATAAGTTAGTTTACTATGGATAAGAGCAAAATATATGGTCCTTAGAGTGTTACTATCTAAAAATGGTTTGAGCCGTCGCAATACAAATATTTGTGTTGACAATCTTTTACAAAGATCATTAACATGTGCCATCCAATTAAGGTTTGTATCTAGGGTAAGACCCAACAACTTTACAGGTTCCGACTTATTTATTAATTTGTCAGAGGTGAATGTAATATGTTTAGTTTTTGATTCGTTAAGTTGAAGTCTGTTTGAGGAAAACCACTGCTTGGCTTTTAAAATATGTTCGTCTTTGTGGAACTTGCCCACTCTTGAGGTAATCGTAGTATCATCTGCAAACATGAAGACTGAACCCGAATCAAATGCTGTTGGTAAATCATTTATATATAAAAGAAACAAAATGGGACCCAACACAGATCCTTGCGGTACTCCTATATTGACAGAGAGAGTGTTTGACTCGCCATTTGCATAACTAACAAATTGTCTTCTATTTGTCAAATAGGATTTCAATAAGTCGTAAAATTTCCCCCTTATACCATAATATTCAAGTTTGTGCAACAGAAGCTCAATATCGACACAGTCAAACGCCTTCGACAGATCGCACATTGTAGCCGTGGTACTGTATCTGTCATCTAGCCCCTCGACTATATCTCCAACGAGATCTGTAAGTGCCTTTATAGTTGATTTGTTTTTCCTGAAGCCATATTGATTAGGTGTCAGTAGCAACTTATTTTCAAGATAAGAGATCATTTTTCCTTTTAATAGAATTTCAAATATTTTTGATAAAATTGGTATTATAGCAATAGGCCGATAATTGTTTGGGCAGTCGATATCACCTTTCTTGTGTATTGGCAATAACTTCGAAATTCTAAGCTGTTCTGGCCAGTTTCCCTCTTCGGCACATTTATTAAAAAGAATGGTAAGAGGTTTGATTAAAAATTTTTGTGCTGCTTTGATCATACGACTGTTAAGACCGTAAAAATCCAAGCATGCCGAATTTTTAAGTTTCATTATTGCCTGACTCATATCATCCTCTAGGACTGGAGACAGAAAGATAGAAAAAGACGGTTTTTCTTGTTTATTTAAATATTCCATGGGATGAATGTTTGGGTCTTCTATATTTTTTGTAATTGTGTCGGCTATGGTCGAGAAAAAATTATTAAACTCATCCGCCGTTAATGAGGAAGAGGTTGTCCCCCCTTTCGTAGAGTTTCTTGTTGAATTAACTATGGACCAGATAGTTTTTGGTTTACAATCTGATAATTCAATGGCTTCAGAATATGCAGACTTCTTTGCTTCTCTTAGGGACTTTGAGTAACTTTTCCGTGCTTCAATATAGTGTCTCCAGTCAGACACAGAATTTGTAGATTTAAACCTCTTTCTAGTGATTTGAAGTTTTTTTCTCAAAGTTTTTAACTCTTTATTAAACCACTTGACCCCAGTGCGATTTGTTGTATTTCTCAAAGGAAAACAATCATTAGCTGCCTGTGTCAGGTTTGTTAAAAGGAAATCTGTTATATCATGAGATTTTAATTTTAAAAATGTTAGTTTGTCCCATTTCATTTCTTTTATACAATTTGTAAAATTGACAATAGATTCGGCTGTAATTGACCGTTTTAAGCTTTTATTGTTTCCTTTATTAACCTGATCGTATTCTATTCTTATATAGATCCCCAAATGATCAGCAATCATTGGATCGCATACCCCAGTCGAGAAATTTCGACAGTCAGTGTTTGTTAAAACATTGTCAAGACAATTACGTGTTGTTGGCGTAATTCTTGTAGGGACATGTATATTATGCTCTAACCCAAACATATGTAATATATTATTAAAATTAATTATAAAATCTGACTTACAGTCAAAATCTAAGTTAAAATCACCTAATATTATTAAATTAGTGTATTTGTTGAAAACAAATTCTAAAAGTTGAATAAAACAATCCTTAAATACTTCAACATCGCCATGACTAGATGAACGATAAACTGTTATAATTATGGTTTTTGTGCCGATTATTTGTGCTGCGCAAAATTCAGCATGAAAAGTTTGACAGAATTGTGAGATTTCAATTCTTTTTAAATGTATATTATTTTTAGTAAATATTGCTACTCCTCCATGTAAGTTTGTCTCTCTGCAAAAGGAAGTAACAAGTTGATAATTATTAATATTTAGCGATTTTAAATTAGAATCAGACAGCCAATGTTCAGAAAAACAAAGTATATGAAACGGATTCAGCTCAAGGTAAGCAAGTAGCTCATCAATTTTGTTACTAAGACTTCGTACATTGATATGCAGGATTGAGTATTCTGATTTAATATTGTTAGTTGTTTGAGCTACTTTCTGACCTTTCTGTATCATTGTTGAATTGCTTCTGGAGAAAAAACCGATTTACAAATTGATTAACAATCACATCGCTAGGCCATATTTCAGGATTTAACAAATTATCAGCTTGATAAAAAGGAGCAGATATCTTAAAAGAAGCATATTTACTAGGATATCTGACATTTATTTTGTGAACAATAACATCAGGAGCAAATTGTGATAAATATTTTTTCAGTTCCTCTCCTTCTACGCTTACTTCCATATTAGTAATGTGGAAATGTCTAAGATGTTTATTTGGAGCTGATTTAAAAGGACAGTTACCTGCATTTCCACCACTTCCAACTAGTATATTTCTGGGTTTGGTATTTCTCTTGGATAATTGGGAGGATGTCATGCTCTTGTTGGAGTTTATAATATCTTCGCAAATTCGCGAAGCCTGTGCATTATGTATAGCAGCTCTAATTTCTTGTGGCTTAATCAAATTAACGGTGGCTTGTGGTGTGAGGTCTCGTGAATTTTTTTCCTCGTCCCTCTTAGTAGGTCCAGATATTTCCACAGACTGTTGACTAATTAACGGTATTTCCAATGGTGTCTTGGTGTTAAAAATTTCGTTAACCCTCTTCATCAGTGATATTTGTTCTTGCAATGACTGTATAGATATGTTTTGGAATTTAATTGTATCATCCTTTTCTTTAATGATCTTTTCCAAATAAATGATCTTTTCCCTGAATATTTTATTTTCAACATTATCATCGCAACTATCTTGAGCATTGTCGTAATTGGTTATATTAGTTTGTATTTGACTGTTGCCTGTTACTCCTAGTGTAGCGTCAGAACAGCAAATGCAAGTGTAATCATCAATGAATTGGGCTTTTATATATTTTAAACAACTTTTGTGCGACAGAGTGCCACATCTCACACATCTTAATCCGGTACCAACTGGCTTACTACATCTTATGCATATTTTACTAATTTCTCCTATGTTTAATGTATTTTCAGCCATTATGAATGATTAAAATCAATAGCAAACTTTAAACTAATTTTATTTATTTTCTGTTTACCGTGGTGGAATAGAATTGGGATCACACAGCAAAAACACAGCAAAAGACTTGTAATTTTTTGGAATTCTTTGAAATTCTGTTAAAATTATGTTGGAATTATATTCACATATCGATGAAAATTGATAAAAATTGATGAAAATTGATAAAAAAATAATAATAATAATAATAATAATAATAATAATATTAATAATAATAATAATAATAATAATAATAATAATAATAATAATAATAATAATAATAATAATAATAATAATAATAATAATAATAATAATAATAATAATAATAATAATAATAATAATAATAATAATAATAATAATAATAATAATAATAATAATAATAATAATAATAATAATAATAATAATAATAATAATAATAATAATAATAATAATAATAATAATAATAATAATAATAATAATAATAATAATAATAATAATAATAATAATAATAATAATAATAATAATAATAATAATAATAATAATAATAATAATAATAATAATAATAATAATAATAATAATAATAATAATAATAATAATAATAATAATAATAATAATAATAATAATAATAATAATAATAATAATAATAATAATAATAATAATAATAATAATAATAATAATAATAATAATAATAATAATAATAATAATAATAATAATAATAATAATAATAATAATAATAATAATAATAATAATAATAATAATAATAATAATAATTGAGTCGGAAGATAGTCTAATGAGGTTAGCTACCCAAGAAGATCGAGGGTATACACCTCTTAACTTACAGCACCATCATCTTTTGTTTGATATAAGCACAAGACAAGAAGATCAAGAAACATGGGCGGAACGAGCTCTGCACGGAAAATTTCCAAAGAGTCTGGAGTTAGATAACATCGATAAGGCACCATCATTGGCTTGGCTTGACGCTTGTTATCTATATCCGGAAACAGAAGGATTCATAATGGCTATTCAGGACAGAGTTATGAGAACACGAAATTATGAGAAACACTGCCTAAAACTAGAGGTCGAAGACAGATGCAGAAAATGCGGATCAGTGGGTGAAACTATCGAACACATAATAGCAGGATGTCGGTACCTAGCAGACAACGCATACCTAGGACGTCACAACCAAGTTGCCAAGATCATCCACCAACAACTTGCTTTAAACAACGGTCTCCTGAGCTCATGCCCACCTTACTATAAATATCAGCCCGCAGCTGTTCTGGAATCAACAGAAACGGTGCTGTACTGGGATAGGCCAATAACAACGGACAGGACAGTCGACCACAATAGACCAGACATCGTCATTATCGATAAAAAAAAGAAAACAGGATTGATCATCGATATAGCTGTACCACTGTCATACAACGTCACTAAAACCGAGACCGAGAAGATCAGGAAATATGAAAATCTGTCATATGAATTAAAGAACATCTGGAAACTAGACGAAGTCTCCATAGTCCCACTGGTAATGTCAGCGGAGGGAATTATATCGAAACACTTCAGTAAAAATCTCCAAGATATAGGATTATCAAAAAACATAGTGACATATGCACAGAAAGCAGTCATTTTGCAAACCTGCCACATCGTTCGCAGGTTCTTAAACGGTACCTAAGTGGGTTAAACTGAATTGTTTCCCTGCTAGGTTGTCCGAGCTCATACATTTTGTATAGCGAAAAATTATACCAGCATGCGCTGAGATCACGAAAATAATAATAATAATAATAATAATATAAGGGGGTGGGTTGGCTCAGTGGTTAGAGTCATGACTTTGAGATCGAAAGGTCTCAGGATCGAATCCCACCGTTGGCCGGGATTTTTTTATTTAATTTAATTATTTAAAATTAATTCTGATGCCTTGGTAGGATTCCCCACTCGACCATTTACTGTTGGGTTCTAATTAACAGTGCTGTTCCTAAAGTGGCGCTGGGAAACAGTAACAAAGCCTACACAGAACACGATGCTAATGGCCATAGTAGTCGACGCCGATGACACCAAATAAAAAAAATAATAATAATAATAATAATAATAATAATAATAATAATAATAATAATAATAATAATAATAATAATAATAATAATAATAATAATAATAATAATAATAATAATAATAATAATAATAATAATAATAATAATAATAATAATAATAATAATAATAATAATAATAATAATAATAATAATAATAATAATAATAATAAAAATAATAATAATAATAAAAATAATAATAATAATAATAATAATAATAATAATAATAATGATAATAATACTCTCCCTAATTCACCCCCTTACGAGTGAACTTTAACCCTAAAAGCTGAGCTTGTGCGGGGAAAGGGACGGCCATTATTATTTACCGTGGCGCTCTGGGGCGACTTAAAGATGATTGATGGTGCCATTTGACTTACAGGTAAGGAAAACCCGGAAAACCTCACCACCAATATCGAGACGGTAATGTATGGCGATTTTTTATAATCAGCATGTCATATCAACAGAAATTGAATTTCTATTAATACGGCACACATCAAATCTTATACCAAACCATGCATTTTAATTTAAAATCCACATGATGTGGTCTGAGATTCGAAGCCCAGCAGTCTCTGACACATAAACTTGCTTATAAATGTATATACGCTCGTTAGACCTCTACACCACCGACCCGACAAGAAACTTTTTTGAAGTAAAGTTATAATTCCGAGTATATCTTGAAATAGAGGTGAGTGGTTTTAAATTATTTCTAAAGCTGTGCATATGATTTTACCTTAATATTATAATTTTCCCAAGCCCATGAACAAACATTTTATTTTTGTAATGTACGAAACTATAAAATAAAAACAAAGGAATGTGAGATTAAAGAAGATCTAACCAGAGGAATATACTCTTGCAGGCAAGCTGCAAAAGATAGTTGGTTTGTGTTTTTATTTTATAATTTATCTGAGAGACACACGTTCAATTTGTATAACAGTTATTATTACTTTTATGATTCCTGTGTATGCCTAACGTACAAAATTAATGTACTTGGATCAGTGTTACTTTTTCTTCTCAGAAGTTTCCATTTATCCGAAATTATTACACAGTTTACTGTACCAAATAAAAAAATTAAATATTACAGGTCATTTTCTAACTTTTCCAGATAAACTATTTAGCAGAGGAGCCTATTTTCTTATTGAGGGTGTGAGCTACCTCTACTTTCAAGTGTGTAGATGAGCCAGAGGTAGTAAACCTGAAATAAATAAAAACAATTATTATAATATAAATGTTCCAAAAAGTAAACAATATCACTTACATGTTTATTTATATTATTTCGTTTGATTTTAATACTGCTCCTATATATTGAATTAAATTCTTCAATTTTCTTGGTATTTGCCATCTACAAAGAATTGTTTCATGATTGATCACATACCTTTTTACATAAGAGCAATAAGCATTTTCCTTAAAATGCTGATAACAGACATAACAGAGTTTAGCTAAGAATAATTTCTAAACAATTCGAATAATGGTTTGTAAACACTGTCAAGTTAAGTGCTCGAAATTTCTTGGAGACCTGAAAAATAAAAAGCCTTAGAATACAACAATAGGCACATAAATAGAGTAGTTACAAATGGAAAGATTTAACATAAAATCACCAAGTAACGCAAGGTTTTCAAGATATTCGTTATTTGTTAATGGTTTTGTAAAGTGTAGGTTCGTAAATAATATCTTTGAGGACTGATTTTGGGTAAATATTATTATATAACCACTAAAACTATTGCGCCAAGATGTAGGCAACACGTAATAAGTGTTCAAAATAGCGGAGTTTTCTATCGTCTTTTAAAAGGCACTCAGAAAGCTGCGCAGTGCGACCATTCTCCGTATAGTAAGAAAAAATCGAAGTATGTACTAAAACATCTCGTTACTTGTATTTCCTCTATGTATATGTAGATGAGTCGGATTTTTATACCTCGTGACGCCATATCATGTGACAAGGATAGAGCTAACATGTGCAGGAATATACCGGTATTTGTCATGGTATTTGTATATCGTGGTGTCAAAATGTATAAATTATCAAGTATACTTAGATATAGACACGAATATAATTTAATTTGGCATTTAATTTGAAATGAGTAATGAAACGACCAAACCTCAAAAAAAACCTAAAGATAAAAAGAAAAAATATCCCGTAGCTAGTATACGATGGACTCCCAATCCACCAATAGTAAAGGAAGACAACATCATGTCATCGGTAGCCAGAGAAAGAAATATATGGGGGTTTCTGCCAACCTACGAAGTTCAGGCAAGGATTGTTTTTTTTTAAATGTAGGTACATGCGTCGTAACAGTAAATTAGAATAATTTTTAGGATCATCCGATTTGCATGAATTTTATAATGACTGGAGAATATCAAAGAATATGGCTTAAAGAAAGAGATGCATTTCAAAAAGATACGTATACTAAAAAGCGAGAAATTCTCACGACTGATAATAATTTCAGAAGAAAATTTGTACAGAAATTTTTCACGTACAAGAAACCAACAAAGAGTTCATGGCTGGAAGCTAGGCAAGTTTTTTTTAATGATTATATTTAACTAGTTAATAAGAAGGTATTTCTGAAATTATTTCTTCTAAATGATAACAAATGGTGTGTCGGCGGTATGGCAGAAGCATATCCTTAAGAAAATAGTCTGCTGAATAAATGAGATTGGATACAGGGGTCCATATGTGAGCACACAGGAATATTTTATTTATTTCTTTCATCTTAAGAGTTATTGCTCCGTTCATGAGAACTAATTTGTCGGCATAGGAATTAGTTGTAGCGGTATTTCCCGTATCGTAGGAAATGCTTTGGCAGATTTACTTAGTTATGTGTGTGAATTCAAGATTTAAAGGTATTCAGTAATTTGAGCCTATAAGAGAAAGTTTTTAGTGAATTTAGAGTTAGATACTTTAATATTTGTGTATCATTGGAATAATCATTATACAATGGTATAATATATGTATATTCCTAATAGTGCAGGGCATAGTGGCGCATTCGTTTGCAAAATTGTTTTAATTCGTAATATTTTTTTTAAATGTCTGGAAGGCTTGCCTAATTATAAAAGTGTAAGATGACACTCGATATTTGTTGATGTTATTGTTTAAACAACGAAAAATTAATTACTCAGGTACTTTTTTTCACATTATTTTGATTCTTTTCATCAATTTTTTTAAAAATCACCTTATTTTACATTGACTTACATAGAAAATTGACTGCGCTGTCATTAGACATGCCAACTACAGTCAATTTCGCGAACTTTATAAAAAGAGGGACGCAAATTTGAAATTTTAAGAATATAAAACATATAGAAATAAACTAAACAAGCTTATGCAGACTACAAAGTATAACTACCATAAAAATAAAATCAATGAAAATGCAAATAATATTAAAAAAATCTATGACATAATATCTGAAGCAACAAATGAAAAAAATTAAAAAACTAATAATAATATTAATGTACTAGGTGAAAAAAAAAACTCATTTAATAATAACAATGAAATGGCAAATTTTTGCAATAACTACTTCGTAAACATAGAACTTAAGATGGCAGAAAAAAATAAAACAACCTATTACAGATATCAATGTAAGTTATCCAAATTTAATAAATTTTATGGCTCTAAAGCCAGTCACTAATAAAGAAATCATTATGCATATTAATAGTTTAAAAAATAATAGTGCTCCAGGTATTGATTGTATTTCAGCAAGAATAATAAAAAAAAATCATAAATACTTGTTAGAACCTTTAGTTCACATTATAAATATTATTTTCATAACCGGTAAAGTACCAGCTCCATTTAAAACATCTATTGTCACGCCGGTTTTTAGAAAAAGATAATAAAGCCGATATTACCAATAACCGTCCAATAAGTGTCATTTCCAACTTTGCAAAAAAATTTGAAAAGAGTATGAAAGAGAGACTTTTCGATTATCTAACTTCTAATAATATACTAAACCATAATCAATTTGGTTTTATGCATGGGATTAGTACAGCAGATGCCATGTTTGAACTAGTAAAAAACTTAAAAAATGATCTTGATAATAATGAAAAAGTGATAAGTGTCTTTCTTGATTTGGGGAAAGCCTTCGATACTGTTCCCCATGATAAGCTCATTAATGTCTTAAAGCATTACGGTGTCAGAGGAGTAGTATTGGAGCTTTTAGAAAACTACCTACGGAAAAGGAACCAGATGGTAAAAATCAGAAATATCTACAGTGATCCTCTGGATGTAAAAATTGGAATAACACAGGGGACAGTCCTTGGACCACTCCTGTTTATAATATATATTAACTCCTTATTAAAATTAGACATAAACGGAATCTCCATCTCTTATACCGATGACACTGTCCTAACTTTTAAAGCGGAAAACTGGCAAATTGTCCAAAATAAAGTGATAGAAGGCTTTAAAACTATTAATTATTGGCTTGACTGCAATAAATTAACTTTAAATACAGATAACACTTTTTACATAGCTTTCTCTTTTGAATGAGGCCAACAGACCAAATTTTGACTACATTAAAATAAACGATTCTGATATTATTAAAGAAACAAACACTATTAAACATTTAGGCATTACAATAGACAAAAATCTGAAATAGGACAAACCATGTTTAAGATCTAACTAACAAAATTAGAGTTTAATATATAAATTTTATATAATACATAGGATTTTACCTTAAAAACTTTTAATTCAAATTTACAAGTCCTTGGTGGTCTCTTTTGAGGTATGGTAATATCGTGTGGGGGGGGGGCTTTATGAGAATGTACTGAAACAGTTGAATGTCGTACAAAATTATATACTACGCATAATCTTTTTCAAAAATAGACTTTACTCAACCCATTTGTTATATAATGTGAACATTTTGAATATCCGAGGCTTGTACTACCTCAGTAACTGTATTTTTTGCTATAAATCTAAAACCACATTACATAAATCATCACTATGAAACAAGAAATAAAACTAATAATAAGTTGATAGTTCCCTTTTAGAAGATATGACGCTAAACAAAGATTTGCTTGCATTTTGGCACCAAGATTATACAACTCCTTGCCCCAAGAAGTTAAATCCACTAGAAATTTTAAGAAATTTGTTTTTTAATATAAAGAATATATATACGGAAATAGTGAGTACTTGGACACATTATTATTATAACATGCAATGTTTATTTTATGTTTATTTTTTTTCTTCTATTTATTCATTTTGTCCTTTATAAATTGTACAGACTGGTTGATTGAAGCATAACACATGGCGCATTAAGCATTAAATTTTAATTTTTTTTTTAGACTTGATTTTTTTTCTATTTAAATATTTTTTTATTGCACATACAAGTGCTTGATCACTTAGGTGCAATATACTTAGTTTATAAGATTTGACTTATTTTTTTTAGTATTTTTATATATAACTATAATAATAAAAAAACTATAATGTGCATATTCTAGATATTATTGTTTAATTTATTTTACCAAAATTTAAATTTTTTAAAAAAATCACTTTGAGATATGCTTGTCCAAAAATTATAAGGGGTGCTGTAATCACCTTAAATTTATGAATGTTCACAATGTTTAACCGTATCGTAGATTCCTTTAAAAATCTTAGTTATTTAATCATTACCGGTTAAAGACCGTTATGCGTTATGTTTAATGGAAGAACCTTTGTTTTCTAAATTAGCTTGAAAGTTCTATTATTCTAAATTGTTCTTCAGAATTTGGAAAAAAAAAACTGTTTAGGTTTTCCTTCTCTACACGAATATTAATCATCTTTGGCCAGTTTAGATAGTTGACTTAATTATTTTCGATAGCCCTTTGTACAGAAAGAAAACGTAGATTTTGTGAATATGATTTAAAATTCATAAAGTCAGAAAAATGCAAAGACATTACAACATAGAGACAAAATGTTTCATTAATAAATCACATACAATTGCGGACTGTTATTGTTTTAAAATTGGGACCGGCTGGCAACGTTGTAAACAGTGTCCATAATATGCTCGCCAGTAGCGTAGAGTTTTAAACTTACCAGTATTGTCAGAGTAGTATGTTAAAAAAATACGTAAATAACTAGGTATATTTTTTTAGTAATATAATTATAATGATTTTTTCATATAGATAAATTCAAGTACAAGTAAATTCAAATACAAGAGAATTCAAGTTACCTTCCGATTTTGAATATTTCTTGGTTTATATTTTATTGGCATTTACTAGATATTTGCCTGGAATGATGTTAACCAAAATTATTTAAAATTTTAAATTAACATTAAGTAGGTAGGGGTATCTAAATAAAACACTGTCCTAAAAATATATAATTTTTTATTTAATAATTATAAAAAAACATGGTATGGCAAAAAATATCCTAAAAAAACTTTAAATTTTTTTAAATAACGTTTTAAATATGTTAACTTCCTTAATTTTATTAAGTAAAATTTCATTTAATTTTTTTATGCTTAGTTATTAGTGTTATTACTTACTGCAATGTTTTTTTTGCAGCAGGTGGTATTCCGAAAACAGTTGAATCATAACTAAAAACCCATACATTAGATATACATACATATAGGTAATAAATAATGTTTAGAGGTAAACAAAAAATTAAAATTTTGTATTTTTACCTGTCTGATAAATCATCCAAAAATAGAAAGCCCTCACACCGTCTGAAGTTTGCATATTTTCTGATATATTTAGCACCTTTTGAACGTACCAAAACATCTTCAGGAAAAAAGTGTTCTGAACACAACTCTGGGTTTTTACGAAGGGGCTCATTTTCAATTATCCCTACTAGAGAAAACCAAAGTTTTCTTTTCTCAGGATCTTGCGGAAACCTAAATAGAATATTAAAAAACATATATATATAGGTGCCTAATAGGTAAATCATTTTTAAGATATTCTACATTTTACGGTTAATTTTCTTTGCCACTATTCAATAATTATTTATTGGTAAAAGAATAATTTACAAATTTATAAAAGGAATATCACTTTAAAAACTGTTTTAGACTACACAAGTTTTTGATACAATTTCTTGTACAATTTAAATTGTATATTATCAAACCTGCAGTGAATTGTCTGAAAAATTAGATTAGATTACAATTTACTGAGTGATAATAACAGCTGTCAACTATCAATATTATCATATTAACATTGGATTTGAACTCAGCAACCTCGAAAACATATATTCACATGTGGATTTTATCAATTTTAGTTATTGGTTGTTGTTTGGCAGCTTGATGACAGCTGTCAACTGTCAATATTATCATATTTACATTGGATTTCAACTCAACAACCTCGAAAACATATATTCACATGTGGATTTTATCAATTTTGGTTATTGGTTGTTGTTTGACAGCTTGATGACAGCTGTCAACTGTCAATATTATCATATTGACATTGGATTTGAACTCAGCAACCTCGAAAACATATAATCACATGTGGATTTTATCAATGTTGATTATTGGTTGTTGTTTGACAGCTAGTTGACAGCTTGATGACAGCTGTCAACTCTCAATATTATCATATTAACATTGGATTTGAACTCAGCAAC